AGGGAAAGAAAGCCATTTCTCATGGAGTGATGCTTGCCAGCTTCCATGGGTTTGGGTGCTGGGAAGCTCCATGATGCCTGGAAGGATTTGGGAAGGGGCTGCTCCTCATGCCTTAGCCATGGAGCACTGCTGGGAGGTGCTGTGGGAGGGATTAACTAATTTCTTCCTGGATCAGGGGAAACTGAGTCAGGAATGAGAAACACCCAGCAGGAGCTTGAAGATGGATCAAATCCTGGGAGGATGTGGAGGTGAAAGGTGTCAAGTGACATGTGTATGTTTGCAGACTTTCCTGAGCCCTGGAAGTGTTCCAGGACAGGCTGGATAGAGGTTGGAGCAACCTGGGCTAGTGTAAGGTATCCCTGTCCATGGCAGGGGTGGGATGGGATGAGCTTCGAGGTCCTTCCAACGCAAACCATTCCATGATTTGATGATTCTCTTAAATTTGGATCCAGGCTGGGAGAGCTGGGAATGTCCAGGTGGGAGAAGAGAAGCACCAGGGAGACCTCATTGCTGAACCCCTTCCAGTGCCTAAAGGGGCTCCAAAAGAGCTGAGAGGGACTTGGAACAAGTCCTGGAGGGACAGAACAAGGGAGAATGGCTTCCCACTGGAAAAGGGGAGGTTTGGGTGGGATATTGGGAAGGAGTTCCTGGCTGTGAGGGTGGTCAGGCACTGGCACAGGTTGCCCAGAGCAGCTGTGGCTGCTCCATCCCTGGGAGTGTTCACGGCCAGGTTGGATGGTGCTTGGAGCTGTCCCTGGGGTGTCCCTGGGTGTCCTGGGCCATCCCAGGAGTTTGAGTTGTCACATTTCAGGGCCAAGAGCCTCTTCAGTCGGAGCCATCCCTAGTTTTTCCTGCCTGAGTGATCCCAATCCACAGAGCAAGTGTCCTGTCCATCGAGGAGGAGCTCCTGTTTGCCGTTTCCTGCCCTTATTTCCCCCAAACTCTGTGATTAAACCCTAATTAATCTGGTGGCTGTGATTAACTCCACAGCTCCAACTATGTCCATCCAGGCTGTGCCTCCCAGCACTCAGGGATCATTCCCAGCTGCATCCCATGGAGACTAGGACACTGTTCCCCCATCCTTCCCCCATCCCTAAAGGACACTCCCAGGTTTCCCAAGGGAAAACCACCATGGATCTGGAGGAGCAAACCAGGTGCCAGCAGCGTCGTGCTGTCACATCCCACTTGCCACTGCCTTTGGCTGCTGGATTCATCCCGAATTCCTGGGAGGAGCAGCCGTGCCATGGCTGGCACATCCCGGGGGAGTGTGAGACAAAGCACAGGGACTTCTTTCCCATGGTTTTGGGGTGGGTTTATCCCAAAGGGATTACTCAGCCACACAGCAGGAGAGCTCCTGGCAGGGCTGGGACTGGGCTCCTCCAGCACCGTTCCCTGCTCCTCCCATTCCCAGCTCCACTGCCTCCTGGGATGCTCCCAGCACATCACTGGTAGGAGCTGCCTGTTGCTCTCCATCAGGTTTCCTCTGGCACAGCCCATTCTCCAGGAATTCCTCCCAGCAGTTTTTCCTGAAGGTGTCGTCCAGTAAGTTCCAATCAAATCCCATAACTTGTGCTGAACTGGATCTACTATTTCCTCCTGGAAAGGCTGTTTGGATCTCTCTCTCCACAGGTTTCTGCTTGAGATGGATTTTTCCATCCTGCTGGCATCTAATTAGTGATCTAATTAGTGCCTTTCTTTGCTAATAATCAATAAATAATTAGGACTTAGATGTTTTCCTGAGAGTGAGGGATGAAATGAAAATTCCTGGAGGATTTGGTGCCTGTATCCGGTGTCTCCTGGTGACAAGGATCAACATTTTGTTGATCATAGGTGTTGTGGGTTTTTTGGCTGAAAATTCCCTTTTTCCTTTGTTGCAGAGAAAGCAGCAGATGATGAAGTCCAGAAATCCGACATCTCCTCCAGCAGCCAAGGGGTCATTGAGAAGGAATCCCTGGGACCTCTCCTGCTGGAGGTGGGTGCTGATGTGGTGCTGATGCTGCCAGGATTGTGCCCAGGGCAAAGCAGGACACTGAGGAAGGGAAATAGGGAGGTGGCAGACAATGAGGATGAAGCTGGATGCTCCAAACCCAACCTTATCTCTGGGTTTAGTCATGGATAAACTGAGGCTTTTCCTTCTTCAAATGGCTTGGAAAATGAGCCTTGGTGGAGCTTGGACTTGGTGAAGTCAAAACTGTTCTTAATTCCAGGATTAAATGTTGAGTTGTTTCAAGTAGAGATTAAACTGGAGGTGAGGGAGATGAAATGGAGCCTCCAGGCTCAGCTGGAAGTGAGAGAGGTGACATGGTGGATGATTTCCAGGAGGTTTGAATCCTCCTGGAAAATCCTCTACTCTCCTTCTGGAGGTGGGTGCTAAGATGGTGCTGATGCTGCCAGGATTGTGCCCAAATAAAGCAGGACACTGAGGAAATAAATGCAGAGGAGGAAGACAACAAAGAATTTAGTTGGGATGCTCCAAACCCAACCTTATCCCTGGATTTACTCATGGATAAACTCATTTTAGGCCTTACCTTCCACAAATGGTTTGGAAAAGGAGCCTTAGCCAAACTTGATGGAGCATGGACTAAGGTGAGGGAGGTGGAAACAAGCCTCTCGGCTCAGCTGGAGCTGAGGGAGGTGATGTGGTAGATGGTTTCCAGGAGGTTTGAATCCTCCTGGAAGGTCCTCCACTCTCCTTCTGAAGGGGGATGCGAAGATGGTGCTGATGCTGCCAGGATCATGCCCAGGGCAAAGCAGGACACTGAGGAAGGGAAATATGGAGGCGGAATGCAGCAAGGATGAACTTAAGATGCTCCAAACCCAACCTTATCCCTGGGTTTAGTCGTGGATAAACTGATTTTAGGCCTTTCCTTCTGCAAATGGTTTGGAAGAGGAGCTTTGGTGGAGCTTGGACTTGGTGAAGTGAAAACTGTTCTTAATTCCAGGATTAATTATGGAGTTGCTTCAAGTGGGGATTAAAGTGAAGGTGAGGGAGATGGAATGGAGCCTCCAGGCTCACTGGAAGTGAAGGAAGTGGTGTGGTGGATGGTATCCAGGAAGTTTGAATCCTCCTGGAAGATAGGGAGGTTGAGGAGGACCATCGTGTATGGAGAAGGTTTTTAATTGAGTGTCATTCCATTATATCCCAACCCCAGAGATAAACTCCAAATCCTAAATTGGAGATGTCCCAGGAGGGATTTGGAGTTGTGGATGGAGGATTCCTCCCATGTCCACACATGGGAATATGTGGCTCACCCTATTACTTGATTTAAAATCCATGTTACGATCCCATTTATTACCTCTACAGCCTAAGGAATCATTCCCTGATTGTCCTCTTCCCTCAGCTTCACATGAAGGTGCTGATCCCAACCCATTCCCAGCCTATGGAACATCCATGGTTACACTTTGAGGAGGCCAAACCCTTGCCACCCTCAATCTCTTTTCGATGCAGTTCATCCCAAGAAGCAGTTAGTGGTTTCATTGCTCTCCAAGCAATCCACAGCCTAAAAACATTCCCAGAGTGACTTCCAGCTCCTTCCAGGAGCTCTGGGCTCCAGTGGGGTTTTCCAACCCAGAAAGGTGGCAATAAAAAGGCCTAGCCAAGGCATCTCCTTCATCCTCTGGAATGTTTTCTACCTCTTGACCTGTTGCTTGGGCTTAACCTCCAAAGGCAGTTGAGTTGATCATAGAATATCACGTTAAAACCATGGATAAAGCCCTAGTGTGGGTGTTGGAAGAATGGGGGATATGGATGGGCTTCCACTACGGAGCTCCCATGCCCCTTCCCAGTTTCTCCAGCCCCCACATCCACCAGCACCTGAGGAGAAGGTCCAGGTGGGGTTTTCTATCCAGCCTGGGTCTGGTTTTTAGGGATCCCAAGAGGCAAGGGCTGGTTGTCTTGGCAACAGCTGGGAATAGGGAAAATTGCAGCCAATCTGCCAGAGCCATTTTGACAAAAGATTTCTTTCTCCTGCCTTTTTTTTCCACCTTTTTTTAATGCTTCCTGTTGGTTCATGGCAAAACCTGGTTTTTAGAAACTGAGTGGAATAAAAGCCGGATGGAATTCCCTGCTGGCATGGGCACCAGTTTCTGGGCATCATGAGTTCCTCCTGTTCCTGCGCCACTTCCCAGTCTGGGATAGCACCAGATCAGTTTGCAGGACCAACCCAGCAAAACTCGCCTTGAGGAGCAGGATAAGTAGGGATTGGGCTCCAGGAAAACCCAGTTCTGCCTGGATGGAACATTTTGGGTGGATCTGGGTTGTGCTTGTCCAACTCTGGTTGAATTTGCCACTTCCTAAATCCATGAAAACCATAT